CTGCTGTCAGGTGCCCCTGTGGTGCGTTCTGACCCTGGGCTGCTTGGCAAGGTGGTAGATCCTTTTTTCGTGTATGAGGTCTGGAAGCTGGCAGGTGAAGATGAGCTGTCTGAGGTGGCTTTTGATCCATCACTGTTGGAGCTGGTACTGGATCCACTTGTATATGATGTAAAAGTAGAATATATTGTAGAGTCTGGATTGAGAATAATCAGAGGAGATACATATATTATGAATTTTTCATTTTTCTTGTCTCTCATTCCCGCAGCTGCTGGGCTGAGGCACAGCTCATGACAGTGACTCTGGCCTGTCCTTTTCAGTGTTCGGAACATTCCTTTTGCTCTTCACATTCTGTCCTTTACAAGTCACATTCTTGCCTTATACCCTCTGGCTTTTACTCAGTCCGATGAACACCCACCTCCATTCTTTACTTCTCAAACTCCCTTCTAACCCAGCGTTTGCCGCTAACCTCCCAGCAACAGGAGAGCTAAGGTGGTCACCTGTGACCATGCAAAATTTTTCTCGGTGTCCTTTCTCCCTAGATACATTTGCATACATGAGGGCTAACCACCCTCCCCAGAATATCAGCGCCTCTCCCTGGCCACTCTGTTGTCTCCACCACTGAATTCCGAGAGCTCTCCTCCCCTAGGGTCCACATTAGTGGGCCACCATGTGGAAGTATGAGGGTTAGACTTGACCTGTGGCCAGAGGGCGTATCCATCCTCTCTGTGACACCGAGAATGTGCAGCTGTACATTGAGGACAGTTTTTCTATGTCAAGTGAGAACATCAACCCTGGGTCCTCTTCATCCTGCCCATGTAATGCGTAAGGTGGGGTGCAGACAGGACCTTTAGCCCGAATGTGCCATCAGTCTAGGGGTGACTAGGAATTATACAGGATGGCACACAGGGGACATCCTCCCAAGGGCAGGGCACAGGACCCCTTGTCCCTACTGTCTGACCCTCCCCTGTCCAGAGATGCCTTAGAACTATGTGTCTGTCACCTCTGAAGAGAGCCAACCTCATTCCCTTGCAGAGGGGACTGTGGCCATCCTAGGGCAAAGGCACCCTCTGCTACCTGTGACAGCCTTGTTTTCACAGGGTCCTGAAAGAGACAGGACAGAGTGGGGGCGGGGGCAACAGTAGAACAGTCCTGTCAATGAAATCAGTAGTTCTGGATCCAAGGTTTTGCAAAACATCCGGAGAAGAGGACTATCAAATCCCTAGTTAATGAAGTTGAGGTTGAAGGTGCAATAGTGCCTCAGATTTTTAGAATTCTAAATTTCCTTTTTTTTTTTTTTTGCTGCTGGACTCAAACCCAGGGCTTGGTGCATACGAGGCAAACCCGCTGCCACAGAGACCCACCCCAACCTTTTTTGAAGTCAGTAAATACGTTTCCTTCAGCCCCATCATCTCTAATGAGCTAAACTTTGTCTCATTTGACATAAAGGAAATGGGGGCGCTGAGCTTGGGTAGGTAGAGAGTCGGAGAGTGAGCTCACCCAGAGGCCCTCACCTGCCCTTGAGCACCCCTCGTTCCTGCTTCCACTCGACCAATTGCAGGTGACCACAGGCACCATGCCAGGCCCTGGGGTCAAAGACAAACCAGCCCCCACCCCTCCCTGGGGTCCTGGAGCCCTGGGTCAGTGAGGAGGTAGGAGAGGCCCATGTGAGGAGCCAACAGGAGTCCTTAGAAGGAGAGGGCCAGTCCCTCTGCCTGTTGTTAAGGAAGGACTCTAGGAGGAGGTCAGATGTAAGCTATTGTGTTTTCCTTCTTTATTAAAAAAAAAAAAAAAAAAAAAGTTCTTGGATTTACTCATAAATTTTACCGGACTTCTTGGGTCATAAAAGTAGAACATGTTTGTTGTGACAAGTCAAACAATAAAAAGTTATATAAGAGCCGTTTATGGCCCTCTTCTTAACCGACTCACAGGAATGAATAGGGGTGAGGAAAGGTGGCACTGATTGGCTGTCAATCACACTCCCGCCCTCAGCCCCACCCTCCAGGACCTAACACAGTTAAAATTCAGTGCTTTTGTGACGGCCTCGGCGGTGCCTTTGCCTCTCTGGGCTGTAAACCCTGAGAGTACAGCGCGCTCAGCCCTGTCCGACCCACCCAAAGTGAGAACTTCTTAAATAAGTGAGTCAGCGAGTTCCTGAAAATCTGCCAGGCCCCTCCTCCTCCTTGCCGAATGCCATCTTGGCACTGTACAGAGCAGGCGTTGCCAGTTTCTCATTTTTTTCTTTTTTCATGTTTCTTTTGCAGTTCTGGGGACTGAAGCCAGGGCCTCTCATGTGCCAGGCAAGCACTATGCCATGGAGCCACACGCCTCGCCCGAGACACTGCCATTTCTAGCCTACCTAGGAATGGAGGTTCTGCGGGTAGAAAACTCCCAGGGTCCGTTGGCTAGTAGGACAGAAAGCCAGGCACATGCTGAAGCTGGATTTCACTTTTAGTACAAAGAAAGAGTTCAGGGAATAGAGAAGAGGAAGGGAAGGGTGTCGAGCTGAAGGAACAGCATGTGAGGTGCGTTAAGAGTGTTCCCTGCATGTCTGGGATGGGGCTAGGCACTGAGTAAGGGCAGAGGGAAGGACGGGTTGGGCACAAACCCCAGCCTGAGGGTGGGGCTTGGACTGGGCTGAGCAGCAGAGAAGAACATTCAGCAAAAAGCCATGATCTCAACTTAAGGCTGTGCCCTGGAGACTGTGAGAAGATGCAGAGGCAGGGAGACCGAGAAGCCATGACTGTAACATGGTGGGCCACTGAGGGACCCAGGAAAACAGGAACGCTCTGTGGAATGCAGGAGAGGTGTGCTCCAGGCAAACCTGTGCTACCTTTTGTGATTATTCCTTCATTTTGTTACTATTGGGTCTGTCCTTAACCATCCAATTAATTCTCTATGCAAATTGTCTTCTCAGGTCATGCTGAGCATTGAGTGACTGAATATGTCCATTTCATCAAGCTTTCCTTCCTCTTTCTAGTCTCTGATCTCCCCACCACCATGCCCAAGGCATCACCAAGCCCTCAGTGTCCTCTGCTCCTGTGACTTTTCTCTGCTCAATGTCTAAGGGGAAATCCCAAACTAAAGTCTTGGGCTCTGCCACCTGCCACCCTCTGCCAAGCAAGCACTTTCATGCCAGGGCTCTCCCACACGCTCCTGGGAGGGACTGAAGGTGCCCTGGACGAAGACACTCAGACCCAGCCCAGCCCAGGATTCTGTGGCAACAGCGCCCCCTAAGGACAAGGCGAGGCAGGGGAGGCAGTCCTCCCCAAGGTCAACCTCAAGGTCAAGGATACTCTGCTAAGAAGGCGAGCAAAGGAAAAAAGCTCATCTTCTCTGCAAAGAAATCCAAGTGGTGGACAAGCCTGTGAGAAGGAAAAAATAAATAAGCTTCACCAGGAAGCAAAGGTGTTCCAAACAAAACAAGACACTATTTTTTACCTATGGAATCACCCCAAGGGTAATAACAGCTTCGGACTTCAACTTGGTATCACGTGTCTAAAGAATAAGTTTGGGGGCTGGGGATGTGGCTCAAGCCGTAGCGCGCTCGCCTGGCATGCGTGCGGCCTGGGTTTGATCCTCAGCACCACATACAAAGATGTTGTGTCTGCCGAAAACTGAAAAATAAATATTAAAATTCTCTCTCTCTCTCTCTCTCT